TTATAGCCTTATCAGGTTTGCAGTGCCCCTCTGTAGACGGGCTTTAATACAAATACACAAAACTTAACAACAAAATACATACAAAACAGCACAAAACACAAACAATCATACGATAATAATGCTAATAAAAGTAATTTGGTATAGCGACGAATCGTTCAAATCATGAAATTGAGGAAAACTGTTAAATATCCTGAGGGTGCAGCTTCTGCAATGTGAGACTTTTCTGCTTTTCTCGGTTTCGTGTCAGTATAAACAAGAATTTTTGACCACTTTTGACCGACATTTTTCACGATTTCTTGACACATCGTTGATCAAATCAGTTAATTTCCCATTATTGACATTTCTTTCACATTGGTTTGATAGTGAGTAACATTTACACAGTTCCAGCAATGTTAATCTATTTCTACATCTTTAAAATCATATTTTACATGTCTGATCTTTCCCTTTAGAACAGAAAATGTACAATGTATTTTCTTGCCTCGTAAGGGAAACAGATGTTGCCATGAGAGAAAATAATTGTATTTTGAAGGTTTTTTGAGTTCCTTTTCTTTCTTGGACAATGTTGTCCTGTGAGGACAGTTGCACTGAATTATCAGGCAGATTCTAAGGTAAATGAGATGGCTCATGGTTTTTATTTCAATGTAATGCTTTCTCCTCTTTTATAGTTTGATAGTGATGCTCACAGTGGCTGTGGTTGAATGTTATATGCATTCATTTTGCCACACCGAGGAACACAACGGACATCCATTTTCATATAATAATATTGAAATATTATTTATGATTCTTTATGGTATGAACTAACACCTATTCTAAAAACCAACCTCTGTTCTCTCTTCTAGTGGGGAAAACATCTCTCATCACTAGATTCATGTATGACAGTTTCGACAATACGTATCAGGTGAGACTCGATCCAGATCCAGAACCAAAAACATCAGAAAACATACACTTATATAGAATAATTGAATAATGACTGGCTATGGTCAATAGCTGTACTGAAGAAGTCATGGTGGGGCAGTTCTCCTTGTATAAACTCTATTTTTATATTTCTTGCCTAAATGTATTAACAATGTTTTCACTAATCGTCCACTGATGTTAGATTTGAATAAATGGAATAATGGGACTAATCACAGTGTGGATCTACAATGTAATAAGCCTTCTATGGTACGGTAGACTTCCAACTGATTAATATTACAACAATGTTTGTTTTTGTCCAAAAATGCCGGCTTGATTTACAAATTACAAACCAGGGTCTAGATAAAACAAGTTAATTAAGAATGTTATCAATGCATTTATCAAAAGGAAACGTTATTATTGGCAATATTACAGAGAATACAGATTACAGATTTGTCCCTTGTCTTTCTTAGAAGTTAGGTAGATAACGAGTGTGAATGATTGAGCCCTGAGGGCAATACAAATGAAATTAGTTTTTCAGTCTGATTCAATTTCCGTGCTTATTGGCCGTTTCTTCTTTTTTTTTTACTTAACAGCTTTTTGTGTTTTCCTTCATTTAAACAACAGTCAATCTGCACCACTGAACAACAGACGGAGCAGAGGACATTTAGCTTTTAAAGTCTGCGTAATACTGATTATTCTCCCCCCTTCTTTTGTTCTTTCTCCACTGCAGGCTACCATTGGAATAGACTTCCTATCGAAGACAATGTACCTGGAAGACCGAACAGTAGGACGCCTTGATTGTCATTTAAAGTTCACATGTAGTTCCACGTCTAAAGATGAATGTATTTATTTGTACTTGGTCTTGTTTTAGCCAGTCAACATCCAAAGTAGGAAATGTCCCAATTTCCACTCTGGTTTCACTAATCTTTGATTTGATTTGCATAATTACTTCTCTCGTCACAGACTAACACGATTATCCTGAGGTTATTTCTGCTGGTAATAGCTTTGGCTTTTCTCGCCCTAAAAAGTCAAAGCCTTTCTCATGGATCATCTTCTTTAGCTAGTGTTAATACTTTTTCTTTGTCAGCATATTATGCTCTGGCAGCCTGCTCACAAGCTGATACTGGCTTATCCCACCCTTTGGATGTGTACTTACGAGGCCTTACATCTGTGTAGTCTGTGTGATAGGTTAATGTTAAAGCAGCTGCTGAAGGTGTGTGTGTGTGTGTTTGTGTGTGTAAATGCAGGTAAGGCTGCAGCTATGGGATACTGCTGGACAGGAGCGTTTCAGGAGTCTCATCCCCAGCTACATTCGAGACTCTACAGTAGCTGTGGTCGTCTATGACATTACAAGTGAGAGAGTGCTAATTTACCCGTGAGCATGTGTGGATTGTATGTTTTCACCTGTCTGACAGTAAAGAAGCTCTATTTGTACATGCAACTTTAACACAGCTAACACAAACAAACAATGAGATTTAATATAAGAGTCTGGTCTCCACAGATGTCAACTCATTCCAGCAGACCTGCAAATGGATCGATGACGTCAGGACAGAGAGAGGAAGTGATGTCATCATCATGCTAGTCGGCAACAAAACAGATCTGGAAGAGAAGAGGTGAGCTACAGTGTTGTTCAAAGCAATAAATAAACGATCCGTCGACGTCGTGATTCTGAGCCTGGCCTGATTTTCCTGCAGGCAAATCATGATTGAGGAAGGAGAGCAGAGAGCCAAAGAGCTGAACGTCATGTTCATCGAGACCAGTGCCAAGACAGGCTGCAATGTCAAACAGGTGATCCCTGCAGTTTCACCATATTTCACAGCATGTTGGGCGTCGGTTGCTCCCAGCTTTTCTGCCATCCCTGTGTGTTGGTGATCGAGTCACCAACGTGAATATTTAAGACATTCTATGTGGGAAAAGTAGTAACAAGGGTAGTGTGCACATCCATGTTTCTTTTTTAAATCATTTTTTTCTGATCCCTAACTCTCCCTCCTCTCCCTTCATCTCCACCCTCCTCCTTTTTCTCTCCTGCTAGCTGTTTCGTCGTGTTGCAGCAGCCTTACCTGGAATGGAGAGCTTGGACGATGCAAATCCTGAAGGCAGTATCCTTTACAGCCACTGTGACTCGCTGTGCCGAGAGCCACACAGCCAAGAAATAGACAGCTTGTTTTTAATCTCTTAGTGGTTGTTGGCTCTAGTACAAAGAGGCCGCCCAGCCTACTGTCTACTGAGGCATCAGCTATTAAACCTTTTTTGCTTCGTAGAGAGGAAATGCACAGAGCCAGGAAGGTATAGTGTGGAAGCACAGTATAGCACCACATAGTGGCACGTCTGGGAGGTGACATACACCGAGGATGTGTGGTGGAGGATGGATGACTGATTGAAAATAGAAATACTTATCAACATACGTGAATTAGTTCATAGAGATATACACCAGGAAAGAGGTTAGGGAATAAGAGGGTAACATTGTGTTTGAGAGGTACCAGAAGTAAATTGCACTCTAAAGTAAGTATTGTTTTTTTTATTACTGAGTATCTATTTCATAGTTACGGGTTACAGTAATATTATTAACCTGTAACAAGACTGCTCATGGAGCAACATAGTTTAATTACAAAAAATACAGTACAGTGCTACTATAATTACTATTGTGAGCCTTTTTTTTTTCATTATTGGGAACAAAAGGCTAAGCTGTGGCCACAAAATAGTTGTGTGTATGATTTTAATATGATGATTAAATACTGCAATAATATACAATGTAACTTTTTTATTTTTACTGAGGAAAAGTGCCCAGCAAGTATTTCATTGATGACCTGTATGTCCAAACTATTTACACTGTAACTAGTCATTTACAGCATTACCCATTTAACTGTGACATGTCAGTTTATAATATTTGACTTTTTCTCTTCAACCACCCGACTTTTTCTTAACTGGACAATTCCCAGTGATCGACATCAAGCTGGACAAACCAGTAGAGCCGACTGTCCCCGAGGCAGGGTGCTCATGTTAATGCAGAGCTGAACTCGGACAGCTCCCTTCACACCATAGGCTTGTTGTGTTGCTTACTACTGGCTAGCTTCCAGTTGACTTCTCTAATTCGATATAGGATGCGGGCCTTGTATCTGATTGGACAAATCAAATGTTACCTTTCATTCTTGTTCAGTTGTAAAATATTGTATACTTTGTCAATATGTAAGTGACTGGAGGAGAAAAGGGGGGAAAAAAAACAACCAAATGTTGAAATGAAAACAAGCAAAAAAACTGTTTTGGAAGAATGAAAAAGGAGAAAAGCGGGACAACCAACGGAATTCTTTTCGCTGTTATGTTTTGTATTTTTTATATATAAAAAGGGAAAGCACCAAAAACGATGCCTAAACATAGAAGGAAGAAATAGTGGGGGGGTCGGCCATTTTTCTAGATGGCCGAACACGTTTGAATGTCTGCAGCACGCATGCACGTTGATCTGATCTTTGACCTTTGGCCTGCCCTTCAGGGTCTCTGCACTCTGGAAGGAGGTTGACTATCTTAGAATGTTTTATAGCATCTCTCTATAGCATCTCATGACAAAATGTATCTCATTTGATATTCCCACAAGAGTCAACTTTCAGTAGGTTCACCTAACAGTAGCTGTGAAAATGTGGCACTCTATCTCTCTCTATGGGTTTAACTTTTTTAGAACAAACTGTACTGTGGTTAAAAAAAAAAAAGAAGAAGTAATAAAACACAACTTACTATCACAACTCCCGCTCCCTCCAACCACCCTTCTCCCTTTCCCTGTTTCCCTCAGACCCTCTCTCCTTCCCAGTCTCTCCTTCCCTCCATCCCGGTAATACACATATAACGATCCACTGTAATGCACTGCACTGTATATAATAATGTAATATGTATGTTGTGAACGTCCCTCTGTAGAAGTGGTCCTTGTTCACCAGTATGAATAATGTAATAATGTTAAATGATTAATAAATTACAGATTAAAGGGCTTCACTCTCCTAAACATCAACACTTACATCTTAGCACAATGGTCTAATCTATTTAATCTTTTCTCGCGGTTTTACTTCCAAACATGTTACTTCTTACATCCCTGTAGCATTAACAATCAACAAAGACAAATAGAGAAGGCCAGCCGCTTTTATGTCTTTAACCACATCACCAGTCACATTTTTTTAAGTCCTTGTCAGAAAATGTATTGGCTCATATTGTTGGAAAATGTGAAACACGTAATTCCATATGTTAACTATCTTCAAACCTCATTTTAAAAACTTTGAGTAGACCTAATAATACACAACAAGAGGCAGGACCAGTGACTCGCTGTGATATGTGTACACTAGCGTTTAGCATTAGCACTACCTATGTGTATCCATCCATCCATTATCTTTAAACGCTTATCCTGTTCAGGCTCGCGTTGGGGCTCGAGCCGATTCCAGCTGACATTGGGCGAAGGCAGGCTTCACCGTGAACAGGTCACCAGACTATCGCAGGGCTGACAGATAGAGACAGACAACCATTCACGCTCACTTCACACCTATACTGGCAATTTATAATCCAGCTATGTGTGTGCTGGATTTCATTTATATTTAATTTGTATTAGTCTTTTTTTAGAGTGTACTCCATTCAGTGAGAACAAAATGTGACACAGTAACAGCATCAAAGGCAAATAGGCAAAGAATGTAACAACCAACCATATAATCAATCCGTCAATCAGTTAATTGTTTACAGTGTTCATTTTCTCATGCCTATTGCACAGCGATAATTATCGCACTAATCCTGAGTTCCCTGCGGTGAGACAGTGTCTGAAAACCTGATAGTCTAGGGGAAGTAGTGGTGGAAAGAACCTTTTAAGAAGGAAACTGTCACGGTGACGTGTTCAGGTCGTTTACACTCAGCCCTCCTCGTGTAAGAGGACAGGTATTCCCCTAGATGGACAGCCCGTCATTCGATCCCCCTGAGGATCATCAGGCGGACAGAGACAGTTAGTGCTGTTAGTGGACACATGAACTCCACAGAGACAAGAGGTCGAGGGCGGCTTTGGTTGGATTTCCTCAAGGGTGAGACCTTCAATGTGGAGTTTCTGAAAGCTTTAGCCAGTCAAAATGAGTGGCATCAGTGTACATATACACAGTGGTATACAGTATAGTGATATATAGTATGTACATACATATTAAAAACAGAATCACATCACTGGATTGCATATATAAAAGAACATGACATATAGTTTCAAATACAAATGATTCAATATCAGCATTAAAAACAGTATGTGCTTCTCTGAGAAGGACACACCTCTTCCCTCTAGAGTAGCTCTTGTATGATCTCGGGTCCTGTGAGGTCTGGATCACTTTGGATCTCATTTACACTCAAAGCGGATCATGTCCAGAACGGGAGCTTTTCGGGACACAAACCATCGCTCCCTGCTGAGGGAGCTGCGGACCGATATCGCTATGGCTGTAGATGACCCTTTCCCTCTCGTTTACGGTTTGGTGGACAAAACCATCATCACTGACCAACTATTGAAGGTAAGAACAAAATATGGAAATCTGAATTCAGAGTTTATTTTCATTTTTAAGTGGAAATGTCAGCAGTTTTCACTTGCTTTTTTCCATTTTGATAACAAGAATTTACAATTCGTGCAACCGTCAAACACTGAAAACACACAAAAGCAATGTAATGCCTAATCGACAAGACCTTTTTTCATTTCATAATCCTCCTGTTGTCCACAAAGTAATTCAGATCATAATCCTAGAATGCCTACATAGATTATGACATGTATTTGCAGGAATATATATGGTTTTATTCAAAGTTCAGAGGTCACATACCTTTTGTTGTTTTCATAGGACACCCTAGAGAAGGAAGGCAAAGAAGGGATCCACAAGGCCATGTACTCCCTCCTGTCCTGGGTCCTGGAGCAGAGCAGATCCACCATCCAGGCTTTCTGGAGCAACTTGTCCAAAGACTACAACCTGGACAGCTACCCCAAGCTGCAGACGCTGCTCACTAACCTGCACTCGAGTGTGTATTCTAAGTTTCACCGAAACATTTGTCAAATGTATATAGTGTGTCTGTTTAATCATTTCAACTTGATTACAAAGTATTTTCTGGGTCCAGATGAGTAGGGTACTGTCCATTTTCCTTATACGTCTCTATGTAATCCCTCATTTAATTGATTTTTCAGCCACGTTTATCATTAATAAACATGCTACTAAAGTGAAATAAAACCCATATTGATACATGGTATAGAAATCTACACATTTAGATTTTTTTCTGTAAGCTCAAGAAAAGACAAATATTGAATTTCATAATACAATTTCTGTTTTTTACATACACATTTTTTTAACAGTTAAGAGTTTGTAAATCTGTAGAAAGTAATTTTCTTCCATTTCCCGTCCCAGTTATTACCTATTCTCCCTGTACTTTCAGAAAAAATCTAAATCTACGATTATGACATGAAGAACAATTTTATAGCGATAAGTCTTTATTATTCTGTCATTTGCTGACATTTTGTTGACAGGACGGGACGCTGCAGGTTCCAGAGCAGAGAAGAGATCCTCTGGAGGCCATAAAACTCCTCACATCAAGAAGAGGAGCCACGGGGAGAGAGAGACAAACTCACACAATCTGCCTCCACAGTATCACGCCAAGACAAGTGATGGACCAGGTTATTTCCCATAATACAACTCTTCTGACTCTGTCGTCTACCAAAAAAACTTAAAAGACTAAACAAAATAATTAAACTTCTGTTGATATATGTTTTCCCCAGGGGGCAAAGTGAGGCTGTACAGAGTGAAGAATGAAGCTGCAGCCCCACAGCTAACATCTGGAAACAGTAATTACAAAACCTATTCCAGCATATATACAGACAATGATTTATTGTTATAAAACCTTTAAACCTTGTTCTGCCACAGGTGTTCAGGCGGTGTCGTCTTCAGTCCAGAGACCAGTCATGCTGTCTTCCTCCTTAACTGAGCCGCCAGTCAACCATGAATCCACAGAGAAGATCCACATCAAACAGATGTTGGGCTCAGATGGTAGGCCACTGCTTTTTTAATGGTCACGAATATCAATACAACTGCCCAGCATCAATAGGACATCGAATGTGAATATTTGAATCAAGAACTCATTTAGAGAAATTAATGTAAGGTTACTACTATAGAAAATATTTGAAGTCTTTGTTATTCAACAGGAAGTGACAGAAAAGCTGATGGGGAGTTTTACTCCTGCGGTCAGACGGAGGAGATAAATGGACCATCCGAGTCCAAAGTGGTTCATAACGTGTTTCACCACAAGGGGGAGACAACCACGGGCATGGTAGAGGATCCACTCAGCGTCCACTCTTTCACACTCTGTCACTCAGTCTTTCCTTTCGAAGGTGTGTACATTTACGTTAGTATGTTCTGTATTTCTGAGAGTGTAGGTTCAATATAATGATGATGAGTGTGCAGTGTGTAAGGACGGAGGGGAGCTGATTTGTTGCGATGGCTGTCCTCGAGCTTTTCATCTGACCTGCCTGGACCCTCCACTCACATCTATACCAAGGTGAAAAATAAAAGATTTGAACCGCAACCCTATCTGTGTGTAGTTACATTTATATATTAGCTCGTTTATGTGTTCAGGGAGGCCTTGGCTTTTCAACTCTTGCTCTGAAAAGAAGGTTTTAACGTCACATATTTTTTATCTGCAGTGGCACTTGGCGATGTGAATGGTGCTTTGGAAACATAGTGAAAAGAGAGAATGCCCAAATACCTTTACAGGTAAGTATCTGATGTTTACATAGACTGTACTGTTTGTGTTTAATTTTTCTATGAAAACAATGGTTAATGATGTATTACTTACTGAGTAACAAAGGCGTCTTCCTGTATCAAACCTCACATTTCCAGTAATTTCAATGTTTTTAACGTTCGATGTTGCTCCCCTTGCTCCTCTCCAAGTCTCCATGATTGGACGATACAATTTAAACAGTCATGTCTGAGAATCAGGTTTTAGTTTGCAGGGTTTTTGCCCTGCATGTTCTCGTATTGCTCATGGGCATAATGTTTTATGTCACAGCCACTCAATGCCCAGCAAACAAGTGCGAGCTCAAGCAACTCCATCGTAGACCTCGCCTTCTTCTCCCCGCTCTCATCCTCCTCGCCTCTCACTAGTGCCACAGCTTCTATGAATGAGCTCAGAAACCAGGTAAAGACTTGTTGTTCTGTTTGGTGCAGTCTTTATACTTTGTCGTATATTTTAATTTTGTGTTGCTGTATACTTGCAAATACAGTCCTTGCTAAAATGTATAAATTGTGTATCCAGTGCTCTGGCGGAGAGCTGCTCAGTGTGAGGGAGGTGTGTGGTGTTTGCCACATAGAAGGAGGAGACCTGACTCACTGCCTCCAGTGTTTGCAGCCCTTCCACATTCACTGCAACTTCCTCAAGTAAGACATCCACTCCTCACTTCCTCTATCGCTGTACTATGTGTTTGAACATGGCAAAGACCTTTCTCTGGATTCCTGTTTGTGTTACTATTGATCACCGATGTGCATTAAGGGTGTGATGATTGCCTAGCTAATGGTGACTAATGGGTTGTGAAGAGTGAAGCAGGGTGTGCAGCATAACATTGTAAATGAAGATCAATGATTCTTCGAAATGCTACCAGAGATACGGATGACATATGAAACCTGTGTAAATCCAGGTGATGATCTTATGCTATCACTACTTATTGACTGCAATTCTCAGTGTTTCTCTGTGATACATTGATGAGCATTATAAGACTTCCTTTAGCATGTTTAGTAGAACGTCAAACCTTCCTCTGTAATCCTCCTGAGTGTTGGAAGTCACATATTGATTTGATAGTAACATTATACACCACACAAAACAGCCTGACTCACTCACGGTGTGCTTGCGTTCTTCAGAGGGAGATCCATCTGCTCGTCCTGCTCCCGGCCCTGGGGAGGCTCTGATGAGAAGGAGGCCGAATCATCCAGAGGCTTACAGGTGTGTCTGCAGATGAGATACACATCTTCATTGCCTGAATATGATGGAGTGTAATCTATGTAATCTCTTGTGTATGTGTGTGTGTGTGTGTGTGTGTGTGTGTCTCCAGCTCGTTCATGATCAGTTCTCCTCCGTCCCTGAGCCCGTCCTCCACAAAGAGGAACTGGACTCCCTCCTGGGAGATGTGAGTGAGGCTCAGTTACATGTCGATAACACAGATGTAGACATGATGTGAAAATAACATGTCAGACAAAAGGTGGCTGCACCTTTTTATCACACAGACAGGGAATGAGTTGTCATGGTAAAATGAGGATTAATCAATTAGTGATGTGTCGTGGTAGTGTTTGAGCTGTAGTCTAGGTTGAATTTCCACAAAGGAGTGCCTCTGTATCTAAATGAAAATGTTACCACATTATAAAGAATATGAATGACAAATAGGAAAGAAATCAGGAAAAGTCTTAGGTACCACAGTGTTTTAAATAAACATATACGTCTGTTGTTTGTAGATGCTAAAGAGAGTTAAAAGCTTAAGATAAAAGAAAAGAAGAGTTGAAGATTTAAGACAGATCAGAAAAAGTAGCTAACTAACATTATGTCTAATGTCTTCAGTTTAAGGTGTGAGGAATATGTGCACGCCCGTGCAATATTACAGTGATTTAAACATGTTTAGACTGGACTATGATAGATTGCAAGAAGGCACGATTAATGTATTTAATGTATGCATTAATACCAGGTCACCAGGACATATTTCATTTAGTTTCCTGGTTACACTTTTCAGTTTACTCCTCGTTAATCTACATTGAGGACATTGAAATGTGCTGACTGAATGACCTAAAACTAAAAAACATAACCTGATATGACTGCAGTAATAATCTGGTATGAGATTGTTGTCCAGTGACATCATCGTTGTCACTGACATCATACCGTACACGTGTGCCGAATGATGTCACCAGGTTTTCGATCTTTTGTTCAACAATTGATCCGGCTGTGTTTGTTTCTCAGCAGGGCTCCATTGACGGCATCTTGCAGTGGGCTTTCCACAACATCTCTCGGCCTCTTCCAGACTCTCAAGGATGCTACAAGTGACAGACAGACGATCTGTACTCAAGTATGACCTCTCACAGTTTGAACTTATGCTGTATCAAGTATAAATGATGACGTGAACACAGCTAATTAAAAGGAGATTACTGGATATAGTAAATATCATTTTCTTGTTTCCTGCCTTAAATGAAGTAAAAGTCTGGTTGTGGTTTATTTTAGATATAACATGATTTTATTTCTTTCTTTATATTTAAAGTGAAAATTTTGCATCTTTTCAAACTGCGGATTTTAAAATGTGCTGAGATGAATACGATAAAGATAATGGACTAAAATACACAATTGTGGCACATAAAGCTATGGTTGGATTGGTTTGAATTGAAATCTGTGGATTTTTTAAAAATAATATCCAAACTCATCCACAGATGAGTGAAATGTTTCTACCACGGTCAGTGTCTTTGCGGATTTTCTAGCAGCAACACACTAGGTACAGAAGGAGTCCACATACTTAAGTCATCTTTTCAATTAAAAAAAACTATGTTTTTGACATAAACCAAGGGGCGTCGGACCGTAACGACCAAATGAACCTGTTACAGGTCCTCTACAAGACATTGCTGGATATATTAATATTGATTGTGCACAACCTCCGTTTCTAAAAAGTGAAGCCAATGCAGAAGTGTCTTAAACTTGCATTCTCTCTACTGGCCATCATGGTGCAACTCATCTGGTTGCGAAAATAACTCTATGTGTCTACTTCTCACTTGATTTATTATCTCACTAAATATTATGACCATAAGTTTATGATCTGAATCGCTAGTTTCAAGTCTTTTTCAATTCATTCAGCATGATGCTTATTTAGTAAATTGTGATTGACAGGCCGGTACCATGGTGTTGCTGCAATGCTTGTACCAAAGGACATTGTGAATGTGTAGCAACTTTAGGTTTTTTTCCCCATCCTTGTCTCCCCATCCTATTTTAAAAGGTGTCTAAATGTCCTACCCCTTTGTGAAGCATCACAGCATGACTAATTGTGTAGGAGATGGGGTCAGCACTGATGTCTGCAGTGGACCTGGGACATCTCTTTTTAACTTTTACTAACTTGACCTAACAAACTGAGATACATCCACTTTTTTTAAAATTGTCATTATCCCACTGCTGTCTCCCTGGAAACCAAATGATGCATTCATGTACTTTTCACATGCATTAGTTGTTTTTGTGTGAGTGAATGTGTTTATATCTCGTAGAAGGCAGTGTTGGAGGAGATGGTATACTCACTGGTTAACAGTTTGAGATCAGGACCCAGGCTGTAACACCCTGTCAGAGAACATCAGTGTCTCATCACGGCAAATAAAAGAGACAATGCAAACTTCCACATGTGCACAAAGGCACATGAAGGGTCCCTCTGACTGCGTGGATCTGTAGAAGAATTTGCATTCACACGTTACACCAGATGGTTTCAATATGATGAGGTATGCACGCTGAGAAATGCCTCTGTTTAACAGGAATTCCTTGAAGACTATCACTTAGATGTGGAATGTTGTTTTTGTCATGGGATTCAAGAGTTTTTGCATGACTGCCAGAGGGATGGAGCTCGGCCAGGCAGATTTTTCTCCCCTCGGTATTTGGTTGCCATGGCTCTCAGCTCCTGCAGGCCCAAAACAGAGGATGAGAAACATGTTCCAGTGTGTGTGTGTGTGTGTGTGTGTGTGTGTGTGCGTGTGTTTCTGTGCAAGTGTGTTTCTGTTTGTTTATGAATCCACTTTCTAAATGGTTCATGAAACATCCTGCATACTTGAGGGCTCTGTGTCCTCACAGGGAAGGCCACAGCACTCACAGAGAGACTCTTCTTTGTATTATTTGCAAAGACACGAGGGAGATGCAATGAGAAAAATAAAGCCGACATAATTTGGTGTCAAAGTGTGTGTAATTATCAGGAAGTTAGCACTACACACAGATTTGTGTCCAAATTGCAGTCATGATGTATTTTCTCATTCTGGCTGAGGGGGTATATATTTTACATAAACATCTGAATTCCTTTACTGTGAAGGTTTTAATCATGACTCCTGCTTAACTATCACACAGCTTTCTTGTTCTAGTTGCATACCACATGAGAGAACACATGGAAAAACTTCTCTTTTCAGAAGGAAATAGAGGCAAACATCTTCTCACCACTAGGTGGCATCCATCTGTGATGGATGTAGTGAAACACTCATTTATTCTGCACTTTATTTCACTCAGCTCAAGCAACCATCACAATGTGATAGGAGAAAGTATTTCCTCTTGCAAAACAATGGATGGTTTGTAGAGAAGTAGGAGTTACCCATATTTTACCAGAACAAAAATAATTTGTCACAACTGTTTCCAAAATAAATAAACACGTTTTAATGAAGGTTATCTTTACAGAGCAGTCCTGGGAAGTAATAACATTTACTCAATTACTTTAATCAATTTAGAAATACTCGTCCTCTACTGTACTCGATCATTTACAGTGTAGGCTACTTTATGATTCTACGTTGTTACATCCAAGTGGGAAATACTGTATTTTAAGACTTACAATGCTGCAAACACATCAATGTATTAGCAATACCAATGAAGTAACACTCTGAAATGGGCCATTCTGCTGTCTCAGCAGAAGAACTTTTACTTTTAACTGATCATGAATGCAGGACTTTTACTTGCAGTCAAATATTTCTCCATTCTTGTATTACCAATTTAAGTCAAAGATCTTCACACGGACTATAAATGCCATATGACTCCTTTTCTGTGAACTGCTGCTTTCCGTCGATCTTTTCGAGTTTCCTGGCATTTAGAGGTCTGAGTGCAAACAATCTTGTGTGTAATCACAAAGACATTTGGTATAACTATAAAGTTTGCTTTAGGCCTGATTCTTGCTCATCGTCTCCGTTGCAGCGTATCTTCTATCTCATCTGAAATATCTCATTTCCCGCCGCACTGCATTCCTATATGATGTCTAATGAGGCAGACACGTCACAGACTTTATCAAGAGTATTAGTAATGTCTTGTGTAAGGCATCAGCCATCTTGTACACCCTCTCGCCTGTTGCTCTTTTAAAGAAATAGGTTGACATTTTGGTAAAATGACGGCTTCTCGCCTTCTTTCCAAGAGTTAGAAGAACATGTAGCTAACTGCTAATAGCTGTTAGTTAGCAGTTAGCTGTCAGCGGTTAGCTTATCTTAGCATAAAGAGTGGAAATGGGGAAACAGCAACAGTTAGCCTGGCTCTGTCCAATGGTAACAAAACCCGCCTAGAAACTGGTCCAAGAATACCCCCCCCCGTAAATATTTTGAATGTAGTTATTCGTATGGAAATATTCATCAGGCTGATGAATACTTTTTACATTTACTTTGGGAGACTGAGTGTTTCTCAGATGACAGTTAAATGTTTGGAAAGTGACAAAGCGAGAGTTAGAATAACAGTGAGACGCATATGAACACTCCGTTTTGTCAGTGTGAAGGTTACATTCCTCGAACACACACCCACACACATCCTGTTACGACTCTGTTGGTCACAGGCCTGGAAGTCTTTGGAAAACTATGATAGGTGAAATTCCCACGCTTTGGGCATCCTCTCTCACATTTTTTGGCATTCTATAAGTGCGGGCGGCTGTCCAGTTTGTGTTCCTGCTGGGCCACCGATGGGCTAAGGGTTTTTAGTGAGGTGAAGCCTGCACCACTTCCAGTCAGGGCCCTCAGCTCTTTATTCTTATCATTGTTGTGGGCAGGAAACTGCGAGAGGCCCTCCATTGCCAAGCACAAGTTTCACAGCAGAATGTATAACTTCTCTGCGTAATAAGAGCACATGGTACTAAAACAAACTTTAGAAGTTGTTTTCAGTGCAACTAGTTTTATTTGCATTTATTCATGAGTTTATGATTTTTTTGAATATTCAAAGTTTGATTACAACAAAATTATTTTCGATTACTTTTACATAATATGTTCAAAATTTGTGAAATATGTTCATAACTAAAGATGAGGTCATTCAAGGGTCGTTTTTTATTGTCAATTTATACAGAATACAGGACTTGTTTTGCTCTTAAAAGATGTGATATTGATGGAAAAAGATAAAAAAGATACACACACACACACCACCAACACATTCCCATCCAACCCACTTTTATTGCTGGTTAAGTTGCTTTATTGAATGGTGATAATAATACGTAGAGCTATCTTTCATACAGTACAGGGTTTTCAGTTATTGTGTTCTTTTGTCTTAATAAATGATACTTTATTTAATATATCCAGTAGTTCAACCCAACACCTGTAAATAGGAGTACTTTTTGCACCACTGCGTTTATTTAACAGCTATAGTTGCTTGTTCCTTGGCAGGTAAGTTAATCAAATAATATTGCAGATTATCAAATTCACAAAATATGACACATAGTTTTAGGTGAAACTACCCAACAGTATATAAAGCAGTCGAACAAATGCTATATAAGATACAACGCTGTTTACAAATTATTTCATGAACAATAACAATCCAGTTACATAGATCACTCTGAGACGTTTTGATCTGCTGAGATGGTCCAGGTCCAACATTCCCATGTTACATAAGAGTGGTCTGTTGAGTTCTTATTTGTGTTTCTGATCTCACTGAAGTAGATCAGAACATACTGTTAGCTGGGGGTGAACCCACTGCCAACACACACACACACACACACACACACACACACACACACACACACACA